CGGCATTTTGACATACTGCACATTCACATGAGTCCCCGCCCCCGAGGATCCTACACTCTAAGGGCCCCATCTCACATACATAGGAGGGCCAATATAGAGAGGAGCCAATTCACCTTCCAGCATGGAGTCTGGGAGGAAACCGGAGGAGCAAGCACGGGGAGGACATGCAGACTCCATGCAGATAGTGACGGGCTTCGAACCCGGGACCCCCAGTGCTGCAAGGCAGGACCGCTAACCACTGTGACCCCGCCCCATTGTGGGGTCCTTACCTCTTCCCGGGCCCCCCTCATGGCTTGGCTCAGCAGGCTGGGGAAGTCGCGCACTTGTCTCTTCAGGCCGTTGTAGTCGTGTGTGAGCGTGCGCAGCGCCGGCTGCAGCACCACCAGGTTCCTGCGCACACCTGACGGGAGACAAGAGACGGATGAGAGTCGCAGGAGGCGGAGCCGGGCAATGGAGGCGGAGCCGGACGATGGGGGTCAATGTCCGTACATCGGGGGGGGGCAGGGTATGGGGGGTGCGGGGGGAGGAGACTTCTCTGCCATTGGTCAGCAGCTAAAGTTCTATACAGATCATATAATATGAGCTCCGCCCCTCACCCCACATAGGGAGGTGAACCAATAGGGATGCTGGGGAAGAAGAAAGGGGCGGGGCCCAAAAATACTTTTACAGGAAAAGTTGAGATTGGCTTAGAACTTCAGCTGCCTGAGTCTTCCCTCCCCCGCCCGCCTGAAATCTACAGCTGCTGTTTCCTGATTGGCTGCGACGTGCAGCTCAGACACGTGTCCCAGGCGGGGGCGGGGCCCCGATCACTCCGCGCAGACTCACCATCCAGGCTGTGGTGTACGGCTCTCATCTCCTCCTGTGCTCGGTCATAGGCCTCCGCCACCGCCAACGCCTTCTGCTCCTGGAGGGCCCCGAACTCCTGAACCATCTCTGCCTGGACCCGCTCCAACTCCGCTGCATACAGCGCCACCTACAGGAGAGAGAGCGTCACTACAGGGGACACAGCGCCACCTACAGGAGAGAGAGCGTCACTACAGGGGACACAGCGCCACCTACAGGAGAGAGAGCGTCACTACAGGGGACACAGCGCCACCTACAGGAGAGAGAGCGTCACTACAGGGGACACAGCGCCGCCTACAGGGTGTCGGTACTGCGTGTCAGCTGACCTGCGCTCGTAGTTTGGCCGCCTCCTGCTGCTCGTGTTGCAGTTGTTTCCTCATTTCCTGTGCGCTGCGCTTGTGTCTGTCCAGTGTCTCCTTCAGCTCCACCGACTCCACCGTCTGCACCACGTACTGCGGGGACACAAGGGGCACATGAGGGGATGCGGGGACACAAGGGGCACATGAGGGGATGCGGGGACACAAGGGGCACATGAGGGGATGCGGGGACACAGGGGACACATGAGGGGATGCGGGGACGGGGCCCCTGATGGTACAGTGCAGTGAGATTGGCCCCTCCACCTTTATCTGAGGCTGTTGCTGGTATTCTCGCAGCCGGCGATTGAGTCGCTCCTCCTCCTCCACCCTCTCACGTACGGAGTCCCTCACTCGGAGCTCCGCCTCTGCCAGACGCTCCGCCTTCTGCTGGACCTCCCTCTGCAGAGCGCAGACCAACGCATTCCGCTCGCCCTCTTCCTGCTCCATGTGCTGCAAACGTTCCTTCAGAGCCGCAACTTCCTGCAACCCCAAAATCACAGAATGAATCCCAGTACCAGAGGACGGACCGTGGTCATGTGACCAGCGTCATATCAGAGATTTGGGATCGGGTCGGAGATTTGGGATCGAGTCGGAGATCTGGGATCGTGTCGGGAGATTTGGGATCGGGTCAGAGATCTGGGATCGGGCCGGAGATCTGGGATCGTGTCGGGAGATTTGGGATCGGGTCAGAGATCTGGGATCGGGCCGGAGATCTGGGATCCGGAGATTTAGGATCAGAGATTTAGGATCGGGTCGGAAGATCTGGGATCGAGTCGGAGATCTGGGATCGGGTCGGGAGATCTGGGATCGTGTCGGGAGATTTGGGATCGGGTCGGAGATTTGGGATCAGGAGATTTGGGGTCAGAGATTTGGGATCGGGTCGGAGATCTGGGATCGGGTCAGAGATCTGGGATCGGGTCAGAGATCTGGGATCGGGTCGGAGGGCTGGGGTTGGGTGGGGGGGTGTGGGAGGT